AAGAGCCACAATCTTTCCACCCATCACAAGATCTGCATTCGCCTTCCTCGCGGAGGCTATACGCAGACAGTTGCCGAAGCGAGCGACGCCACCCGTGCCCTGTTTCCTGATGTCGAGGACCTCGTCAAGGCCACCATCCGCCTTCACGATGGAGCCGCTTCCTTCATCACCGGCTACGGTATCCCATACACGAACTCCGATCGCCAACTCGAGGCCGTCGTCAACCAGGGCGAGCCCATTCTTGACGGAATCGCTCTGAAGGATGTTCTGGCCCTGAATGAGTTCTCCCTGGTAGTCGCATCCACCGTTCCGGCAATCATGAAGCTATTCAACGAGCAAGAGTTGCCTCCCCCGTTCACCTACCCTTACGGCAACGAGCACGCCTTCAGCGTCAACAACTACAAGATGACCTTCTCTAGGACCAAGTCCAAGAGGCAATTACTGCCCGCGTACGCATTCGATGACCTCAACTCCTTTATCGCCGTCAGTGTACAGGCCGTCGTCCAGGATTTCCTCTGGCTCCATGTCGAAGCCGAAAAGATGGCCAACACACCCCTCCCTGCCTATTATGTGGTTCGTCCACAGACGGTCCCCTCCGAGTTCTTCATCATCGTCCCCAACATGCTCCAGTTCCGTAAGCGCCATGACGCCGCTTGGAGGAGGTTCACCCGCAAGGAGGGCTTCGAGCTGCTGCTCTTCAGTCCCAGGGGCAAACGTGGATTCGTTCGATGGTGAGCTATTGCCGTCCAACCTGATGCAACTGCCCACTAACAGGCTCGTGCAGGCCGGCTCGACTTCTCCTGGATCCCGAGGAGTATCCCGAACTGTCCAGCGACAACCATCCCATCAAGAAGACAGACATGATTCTGCAAGTGAGGAGGCCGACAAAGGGCTCAAAGTTCGCCAAGCAGTTTGAGCCACATATGACGTTCAAGACCAGGGCCAATGCTGAAGTTCACAAAGCGGCCTAGAGTACCGTCGCGTTCAACTTTTACGCTGGCGCGCCCGACGTCAAGAGGAAGACGACGCCCTGCTGGCCTACGGACTGGGGGCAAAGCCGTCCAAATCGCCCTACCCAGGCTTCAATATCTCGACATCCCGCGCGAGGCGTCTTCATCGGCAACTTATGTGCGGTCACGGCTTTCACGAGTGGCTTGCCAAGGATGACCCCTTCGCCGATGCCCGCAGCATCACCTCGGACGACAGTGATGATGATGATGGTATCGTTCAAGGGATGGCGGCGACATCCATCGACAGCCCATCGAGGGACAAGCTTCCGACGATCGACTACCTCGACGGAGATCAGGGCTATATTGATGCCCTTGTTGCCGAGGCCCTGCCCCAAGATCGCGACCGCTTCCGCAAGTACATGAGCGATCGTCCCCTGGGCATCGGCATCGTCACTGGTGTAAGTCAACGCATCCCCCCATGAAGATCCCAATTTAGCCCGCGACACGATGGCCTGCGATGGCGTTGACTGCCTGGAGTCCCACCTCCACAACCTGATCGAGAAAGCGCATCACAATAATGAAGAACCCAACTGACACAAAATAGGCTGCTGGATTCGGAAAGACAACCGCCATGGCTGTCGTCGCACTGACTATGGGCGCCCGTCTAGGCAAGATCTTCTGCTCCGGCCCGAGCAACGTATCCGTCGACAACCTCGCCACCCGTATCTACGAGGTGTCTTGCACCGTCACCGACCGATACAACGCTGGGCCCAAGGGCGGACACGCGCGCCGCAAGCTTGTTGTGCGTGGCTTCAAGACTGTGTTCGATATGGACGCGTTCCGACATCTCGTGCGACTCCCTCACGATATCGAAGGTGCCCGCCCCAAGGTCGATTGGGGTACTGAGCGCAGGTGGCAGCTCGACTATTCCGTCGCGTACTGGCTGCTCGCCCTCTTCAGGTCTCCGGCTGTTCCGCCTCTTCACGATGACGACGCTCAAGTCCTGCACGATATGCGGGACCATATTGATAACAGGGAGGACCTGAAATTCCTGTGCGCCTACGCCACCGGACGAATTGGCAGGGAGGAGTTCATCAAGTCTAACCCCCCACCCGAGGAAGTGCTCGAGGCTCTTTTCGATAAGCTGGTTCGCGAGGCCGACTTTGGCTGCGCCACCCCGGCACTGTCCGAGAACAATGGCACTTGGAGGTTCTACAAGAAGATGTGCGGTGGAGTGATCATCGATGAAGCTGCGGCGATGCACCGGTCCGACCTGGCTTGCGCCTGGGGAAACGTCGCCACGCCCTGCTTCCTTGGAGGCGACCCTGTCCAGCTCCCTCCCACTGTGCTCACGCAGCATGAGAAGGATGCCCACGGAAACTACCTGAACCGCCTGCCAGCTGACGGCTGACGGCGGCATCTCTGGTCTCGAGTATCTCCAGGCTATGGGTGTGCCCGTTTACCGCCTGCGCGTGCAGCTCCGAATGGCCAAGGGACTCTTTGACGCAGTTTCACGCTTCATGTACCCGGATCTCGACGTCGAATATGGAGCCTGCTGCGATGTTGACGAGCCACGATTCCAATCTGGCCATATCCTTGAGGACATGCTTCAGGAAAGATTCCCCGAGCTCAAGCCTCCTCGTGAGGGTCACATGAACCCTGTCTTCATCCACTGCAACGGTGCCGAGGTGCTCAACGACGAGATGTCTGGATCCAAGAGGAGCCCAGATCAGGCAAAGGTGGCCCTCGACCTGGCTGTTGATCTGATTCGCAACGGCGTTCCGGCAACCGAGATTGTACTGCTCACGCCGTACACTGCCAACGTCAACGTCATCGCCAAGATGCGCAAAGAGCCCGAGTACATCGAGAGCCTGGCTGGCATGGCAAAGTCAGACACCATTGACGGATACCAGGGACAGTAGGTAGACTACGCCAACCCACGACGCATGGACGCTGACACTTCCCAGGGAGAAAGACATTACCATCATCGTGATGGGCACAAAACATGTTGTTGGTCCCGGCTTCACGTGCAACAAGCAGCGTCTCAATGTTCTGCTGACGCGATCGAGGTGCGGACTGGTTCTTGTTGGAGATGTTCATGTCATGGATGATATGAGTACGAAGGAGGTTGATGGAGAAGACGCGATTCCCATGCTGGTCGAGACGGCCACCGGTGAGATGGTGTTGACCAAGGCCGAGGAGCTGAAGGGTGTGCACAGGACTCTGTGGGCCGAGGGTCGTGTTGTCACGGTTGATGCGAAGAAGAAGAAGTGATCACTGTTTGGATGCTCTCACTGAGGAGCATGTACATCAGGTACATCAGCACAGAATTGTCCAGAAACAGGCCATGTTCACAGACTCTGCTGTTTTACTGCTGTGATTATCTGCTGTGATTATCGAATGACTTTGCCAGTTGACTTACTGTGTCGGTTGACCTACCGCGTCATTTGACCATCTGCATCGGTCGAACTGCCTCTTCGATCAAACTACTTCGTCGGCCGATCTGCCTCGTCGGTCGACCTGCCATGTCGCTCGACCTACTACGAAGATGGAACTTGGTAGTAAGTGCGGCACTCTGATGCCTCTACGCCCGATTTCGCAAGCCTCATTCTGTATCAAACGACCGATTTTTCTCGCCGAGTTGAACACGTCAACCACCGATCTTCCGCAAGTGCGACTTTAAGTACTAACCCCTCAACCTCTTTCCCATCCCACATCTTCGCAAATAACTGCATGCTTTCTTCATCTGGGAAACATACCCAACCCCAGCTTTTCGGTCTTTTCTTGTAGGAAACAGCTGCGACAGCAGATGCCTCCACATGATGCCTTTTCACCCAGTTCCAAAGATTCTGGGGATATCTCATACTCGGCGGCATGATCCACTCTATTGTTGAAATATGGACTGCTAAAGGGAATGTCTCCCGTGGCGGGCGTTTCTGCCAGAACTTTCGTACCATCCGCTCTATCTGCCGGTGCGGGTGTAGTGTCAACGGGGTCTCCAGCGGTCGTGCGCAAGCAGTCAGAAGTACTCCCATTGTGCGATCAGCGTCCATGCCTGCCGAATGAGTTCCAACATGTTTTTGAACGTGAGACTCGAAGCCGATGGACAGCATGACGTCTCGTAATGAGAATGGTTTCTTCGTGGTGCCGGTCATGTCGCCAATGACGCCTTCAAGGTCCACCCATCGTGCGATTTTAGAGAAAAGGGTCGGAAGCGCTGTTGCCATGGCCCGAAATTCAGTGTGCCTGTTGTATATGACGAATGAACAGTCTTCGACGGTCTCAAGGGATCTCTGCCATCGTCTTCTAGACCTCGCTCCTTTCAACCCAGTGCATTTTTGCCAACGGGGACCTCTTATATCTGCCATTCCCGTCCCGTTGGCCGCAAGCAATGTTGTGGCCTTAAATCTGGAAATTCTGAACGAGTCGGACAAGGTCCGCCGGCGTCTTGGTTGCTTGGTCAAGCTTGGCTGCGAGGTCTCGGATGATGGCGAAGCCGACACTGGTGATTCCGCTGCCCTCTTCGTGAACTCCTTCAATGTCGAGTGCTACCACCGGCTTGTCAAAGTGTGAGCGAAGGGCATCGAGGCTGGTGATTCGGTGCTCCAGCCAAAGGCTTTGCAGCGCCTGAGGTGCCTTGCGCAGGTAGGGGGGGGGGGGGGGGGGGGGGGGGTGTCAGTGGGCGGGATCGTCCGTGCTTCATGATGTCTGGAAGGGTTGGTGTTGTCTAGTGCCTTACGAATTCGGGAGTCGGGAAGGAATGAACAGAGTGAGAAAGAAGACCATGAAAATGCATCGAACGTGAGAGGTAGGATGCGAAAAGCTCTAGGGGTCCGTCCCTCCTGGACGGCGATACAACCTCTGCTTCAACGTTGGACCAAACACCTCATTCCCAAGCCACCACCAAGCCTCAAAATCTACCCGTACTTTCGAGCACCTTTTAGCAAAAGAATGAGAAATGCAGACGCAAGCCTCAAACCCAAATACCTTGAGCAAAACGAAAGAAAAAATGAGACCCAGCTAAGCTGGGTGCGTCTGTACAAATTTACGCGACGAGGGCAGGATTTGAACCTACGCGGGCGAACCCAATAGATATCAAGAGGAGGTGCATGTCTGACGACAGGGGCATCATTCTAGTCTATCGCCTTAACCACTCGGCCACCTCGCCTGTGGTAGTTAATGGATTCTGAAGCAATTGGTGGATTTATGAAGCCCTAATCATGCAAAGACAAGCTTCTTTGTGGGCCGAATGACCCCCTGAGCTGGCGGGTGACGATGGGGCGTGGGGCTTTCAGGGGGCACTCAGGGGCTTCCCGAAAAAGGCCCCAGAAAACTTCGGCATTTTGACCGACGTCACATTCTTGAATCATTGAATCAGCTCAAATCCACCAAAGACCTTTTCCATTGACACACCAGATGCACGCTGCAGTTTAAGAAATCCCTCACCAGCCCGATCATCTCCGACGATCCCTGCGCCAGGCGCCCCAAGAAGCAACCCTCGCCGCCGATCCCATCAGATAAGATCATCTTTCACAAAGTCCCCGGTTGCTTGGCCTCCGCCTCCGCCGCGGCGATCTGTAGGGCCAGAGCTTGCGAGAACTGCCGACAGTGCATGAAGCTTCCCGTCATGTACCAGAACCGACGCACTCCCGTGGGCCGCCACCATCCTGCGCGCTCCTGCTCCTCATCCAGCAGCCCAAACCGGGGCATCGAATCGGCCACGTCATCGCCCATCAGTCGACGCACCGTCGTGATGTTGTGGCGATACCCCGTCGCGAACACGACCACGTCCGCCTCGGCGCGCCGTCCATCGGCGAGCTCGACCCCGCCTGCGTCCAGTCGCGCCACGCCCCCCTCGCACCGCAGCACCTTGATGCGTCCGTCGATGATCATGTCGTTGGCGCCCTGGTCGATGTAGTACCGCCCACCTTCGATGAGCTGGTGGTCCGCCAGCCCATACCCGTCCTCTCCCGTGCGCAGCGCGAGGCCCGCCGCTCGCAGCCCCGCAATCATGTCCTTGTCGAAGTCGGCCAGCGCGCGCGTCAACCCGATGCTCATGGTGCGGATCACAGCCAGCGGCAGCGAGTTACCCACCACGTCAGCTTCCTCCGTTGTCAAACCTGGCATGCTCCAGAGACCTAGCTGGATCGTCTCCCACGCCTCGGCAGACAACGAGAAGATGGGACTGCGCTGTACAAGCGTCACTGACTTGGCCCCATGGTTGACATAGTCTTGAGCCACATCGTGACCGCTGGTGCCGGGGCCGATCACCACAACGCGCTTGCTGGCGACATCAGGCACGTCCCTGGCCGTGCGGTGCTTGGACGAGTGGTAGAGCCGACCTGCGAAGATGTCCATGCCAGGGACGTCGGGCATGACGGGCTCGTCGCTGAACACTCCAGTTGCCAGAACCACATGTCGGGGCGTGAGCGTCTGGCGACCTTCGGGACCCTCGAGCTCGACGATGAATCGGTCGGCCGGCTCGTCTCTCTTGACAGACGTCACGCTGGTACCCAGGCGCACATCGAGGCCCATCAGCTGCGCGTAGTGCTCCATAAAGTCGGCCACCTGGTCGCGTGAGAGCCACCGCGGCCAGTTCTCAGGGTACTTGAGGAAAGGATAGTGATCCGTGAACGTTGGCGTGTTGAGTGTGCATGTCTCGTAGCGCGCCCTCCAGGAGTCGCCAATGCGCCCGTGTCGGTCGACGAGGAGAGCGCGGACGCCCATGCTGCCGAGCCGTGCAGCCAAAGAGACACCGGCCTGGCCTGCGGAATGTTAGAGCAGCTCTTAGCAGAGGGGAACGATGGAACCGACCTGCGCCAACGATGAGAACCTGGGACTCATGAGTGACGCCATTGTCGTGCGGGATCCGTGCGGCCGCCGCATGACTGCGGTTCCTGGCCGCCTCGACCTCCTTTTGCTTGGACAGCTCCTCCAGCTGAGTGAAGACGATCCAAGCTCTCCACTCTCCATCGGACACATTCGCCAGACGGACAAATCCCCTGCCGTTGCCGTGAGCGTTGTTGAAGGTGAAGCCTGACTGGATCCACACCATGCCCCCAATGTCGAGTAGGATCGGCTTGAGCCCGCCAGTCGACGGCTGAAGGTTCGTGATTGTCCTGCCTTCAAGATAAGCCCCAATGTCCTTCACGCCGCGTTTTGTCGTAAAGTCCCAGGCGAATCCAAGAATGTCGCGCCACCAGCAGTTGTCGATGAACAGGGAGGCAAGGTCCTGGCGGGACTGGAACCACCAGTCCAGCTTCTCCAGCCAGGCGGCCACCACCTTGTCAGGGTCGATGTTTTCCTTCTTCATACCAGGAGCCAGCCCGAGGGCCGGCATTTCAGGAAGCTTCGTGCCATCCATTTTGCGTAACCAACTTCGACTTCACCAACCCCGAAGGCGCGCCGTCGAAGCTTTTGTACTCATTGATCGGCGTGGGGGCCAGCAGCGATCTGCGGCATGTCCCGCCTCGGCCTCGGCTCGGCGCTTGCCTACAGCTGCACCATCGGCGGCAACTAAAAGGTAAAGCAGGGCAGGGCAGAGGAGAAAGGTAGTATTGTGTTACTCAGAGGTCGAAGTGTACCAGCTCATGGTCAAGCCCTTCTTGAGAAGTGAGTTGTCCAACTCCTGCCCCATGACGCGCAGCCCCTCCGCCTTGCATGTCTTCCAGAGACGCACCAGGGCGCGCACTCGACCCGCCACTTCCTCGCCGGGATCGGATGCACCCAAGAGAAAGGCGGCCACAAGCTCCAGACGCAGATACACTGCGAGCGCGGGGTTCCTGACGTCCACTGCGTCATCAATGGCTGCAAGGCTGACAGCCACGTATGCAAGATCATCGCCGTCCATGTCCTCCAGCAGGTCCTCCAGCAGTCGCCATTTCAGCTCCCTGAAATCACGATGATATGGGAACCGGTCGCGGGCGAGCTCTTCGATATGCGCCGAGAGGTCGCTGGCGAGTTTGTCGAGAGCCTGAATGTGTGAAGGCTCCTCCTTGGAGCGGGTTGTCCAAAAGTTGTTGGAGAATGGGATTGGGAGCAAAATGGTTCGTAGGTGGAACGTGTTAGGCAACACTGATGGCCTATCAGGGGCATCGCGCAATCCTTCAGCAAAGGCGATGATGTGCTTGATGATGGGTACGGCCTTTCGATTGAACACATCTAGGTGGTGTTCGCCGCTGTGCCGGCGGTTAAAATTGAGCTTGCCAACCAGTGAACTAAGCTGTCCGGTCTGTCCGAGTCGCACCATGGACTCTGCAGCTTCGATGATGAATTCTCGCAGCTCCGAATCGCTGATGTGACAGCCTTTTAGCTCATAAGTGCGGAGATAGGTATTGACGGCTTCGGACAGACCGAAGTGAAAGACCCGCCCAGGAGAGTCGTCAAATATGCGAAGCCAGTGGAGGCCAGCGTTGGAGGCCGCAAGCTCAGGATCCGCTTTCACCTGCTTCGTGACTCTCGCGACATCTGCCGGCGGGTTCAAGCTGGCGAGAACAAAGCTCTTCATCATGTGGAAAAGTGAGGCAGGGAAAGCGATGAATTTTTCCATGATCGATCCAAGAATTGCCGGGCGGACGGGACAGACGGGGAGAGAGTCAACGACAAAGTTGTTCCTGGCAAGGAACGCTCGCATCCAGAGCTCATTGTGTTTGGCAGACTGGACGATCCCTTCAGTGATGATCGGCATCAGGTTGGAGCCGCCCTTCCAAATCAGCATCGTAAGCAGTGGTGACTCGTTGCCCACCTCTGGTACACCCTCCCATTCGTTGTCGGCGACCGGGAAACGCTCATTGACCCGGGAAATAACAGGCACGATTGATGCCTCCAAAGCTCCGAGGATGAGTTGGCTAATAGACGGGGTGCATGTTGGCTCCCTCAGAACGCTGATGAGGCTGGCGACGAGCGTGATGCGGGCGTCGATATGGTTGGCCTCTCGAAGAAGTGATATTAGAATGTTTGCCGAGGAAAGAGAATCGATGTAAACGTTGCCATGAAGCGCCTGAGCAACCATCTTGATCGTGGTGACTTTGACATGTCGGGCGTTTGGGTCGAGCTCGGCATCGGGCCGCCGAGGACAAGCATTCTGCTCTCTCATAATGTCGACGATGCCGTCGGCGATAGAGTGAAGAAATTCTCTGGCGGCTTTGGCTGGGAGCGACGAGAGGAATTTGACAGTGAACAGCTGGCGGTGCCATGAGCTGTTCTCACCATCGTCGTTGATGATGGCCTCGCAGATGAATGGGCACGCGAGGGTTGGTTGGTCAGTTCGGGTGACAGACACTGCGATAGAGACAATGTCGGTCATCATGGTCAGTAGCATCTCATGCGAGAGCCTCGTCTTCATGGTATCGAGTGTGAATGAAGCAAGATCTGCAAAGTGCTTCGGTGCCATCCTGGACAGAAGCTGGTTGCACATTTCGGCGGCCCATTTCCCCGGAGGAAGAAGCTCGCGGTGGTCGCCAGCGGAAGTGGGACGACGATCTTCGATATCGAAAAAATGCCGTGATTGTTGGTTTCCAGACAGTCTCGTTCGTGTCCGTCTCATCGCCAATGATTTTGAGAAGAGTGGCGGCGCCATCCGCACGGAGCTGGACCATGGTGCGTGGCACGAGCAGCAGCTTCAACCATGCGTGGACGTTAAATTCAGGCTCGGAGGCGGCCGTTGCCACTATCCGGGCGAGTTCAACGGCAATGCGGTTGGCGGTTGCAATGTTCTTCGCGATCGAGCGGGAGGTCAGGCGGCCGACCTGGTCGTCTTCGAGGGGGACACAGGACAGGAGGCGGTCTAGCTCATCGGTGAGAATCCCATGGCCGTGGCCGACGTACAGGCCGCGTAATGTTTGAGAGTCTTTCGCGAAGCGTCGGGCCCAGACGAAGGCTTCCTCCAAGGTGTCGAGGTCGCCCATTGCCACGCACAGGTTGAGGGTTGACTTGGCCCAAAAGGCACGCTTGGGGGCCTCGCGGGCAGTTTCGGCCATCTTCTTGCGCTTCTCGATGATGTCGCGAATGCGTTGGGACCTGGCGTCGTCGGTGCCCCAGAGGCGGCTCTGCAGCATGGCCCGCAAGACCTCGACATCTGCGTGTACCCCGTCATACTCGCCGTTCTGATGAAGGACTGTGCGGTTTGATCCCGGGACCTGGATGAAGCTGGACATATGATCGGCCTTG